GAAAGCAGAATGGTGGTTACCAGGGGCTGAGGGGACAGGAAAAGGGGTGGGTATTGTCTAATGTGTAGAGAGTTTTGGTTTTGCAAGATGAAGAGTTCTGTTTGCACAACAGTATGACTGAACTTAATACCACTGAACTGTACACTTAAAAATGGTTAAGATGGTAAATTTTACCACAATAAAAATAATGGAAAAATTTAGAAACTGGAGTTAATTTGATAGTCTCTTTACAAAATTCTTCAGAAGTTAATTGATACTTTTTTTCCCTCTTGGTAACTTTCTCAGTAAGTATAAGTAGTTCATTATCCTACTGATCTAAGAACAGAACTCAAAGCATGTATTATTCTCTTCAAAAAAATGCTACGGCATAATTTAAATATCTAAACACCTCACTAACACCTTTAAATAGAAGAATTTGAAGAACAGACCTCTTTGTTTCCCCCATCCTCTCAATTCCCCTTTCTTGAGGATTAGTTTCCAAGAACCCAGCCTACATGGGTTTTCTGCTTTAGGGTCTCATCTAGCTTCAATCAAGGTGTCAGCTGGGCTGTATTCTCATCTGGAAGCTTGACTGGAGAAAAACTTGCTTACAAGCCCACTCAGCTTGTTAGCAGAATTCATTTCTTCACAGCTATAGGCCTGAGAGTTTCAATATTTTACTATTTGTCAGCCAGAGGCCAATCTGAGCTCTTAGGGACTATCCATGGTTCCCTACCAGGTGACTCTCTCCACAGACGTTCACAAAAGGGCAGCTTACCTCTTCAAGGCCAACAGGAGAGTGAGACTGAGTGTTCTAGCAAGGCAGAGTCTAATATAACTTAATGTAACCATGGGAGTGTCATCCCATCAACTCTGCCATATAACATTTCATCATCATGGGCCATTTATTTTCTCTATAGTGGCTGGAAAAGGATGGGGGTTAATGTCTTCCTTTGTAACATAAACACATCAATAGCAGATTCCATATTAGCATTAAAAAATCCCAAAATTCTGGGGCTCCTGGGTGGCTCAGTTGGCTAAGCTGCTGCCTTCGGCTCAGGGCATGATCCCAAGGTCCTGGGATCGAGCCCTGCATTGGGCTCCTTGCTTAGCTGGGAGCCTGCTTCTCCCTCTCCCTCTGCCTGCTGCTCCCCCTGCTTGTGCTCTCTCTGTGTCAAATATATAAATAAAATCTTTAAAATAAATAAATAAATAACCCCAAAATTCCAACACTTGTATTTTATAGTAAGAAGAAAACTGTTCATGAAACATCCCATTTTTCTACTCAATATTCTTCTAAGATGGTAATCAAAGGCAAATATACAAAAGTAAAAAGTTCAAGAGAAGCAGGAAAGGACTTGAGAACAATGAACTTTTTGAATATTTTGTAAAGTAGCATTGTTTATTATATGTCTAAGTTGGTTAGTCATTTCTAATTTTCAACCCTATACCAGAAGAGCTTTCCAAATCACTTTAATTCCATATAATATGGGCCATAACAATCAGCACCTCAAATCTAGAGCCAGCATATTCCTTGCTATATTTACCTGCAGTAAACCACTGACCAATAAGTTACAGAAAGTAAATCAAACACACACATAACCTGCTGTAAGTTTGGCTATAGAGTTGAGGATTACAAAGAACTTCTTAAATCCCATTTCAGTCCCAAGAACAATATTAATGTCCAGGTTTTCTGGGACGTTCTAAACATGTAAGTCTAGGTAGGGCTAACTGCTATCCCGTGCCACCATGAACAGATAATAATACAAGTCCAGAGTAAAGATAACTCCAGTTCACCAAAAAGAGGCACCATCTAGAGCCACATCAGATACTTAAAGCATCTACTTCAGGCTGGATTGACACCAGTGAGCTTCTGCAGAGACAGACCCATTTTTGAAGTATGTATCAAGCCAAACTGATAACAACTGTCATCTATATATAAATATATTTTTTAAAGATTTTATTTATTTATTTGACAGAGAGAGACACAGCAAGAGAGGGACCACAGCAGGGGGAGTGGGAGAGGGAGAAGCAGTTCCCACAGAGCAGGGAGCCCGATGTGGGGCTTGATCCCAGGACCTTGGGATCATGACCTGAGCCAAAGGCAGACGCTTAAGAGCTGAGCCACCCAGGCTCCCCTGTCATCTATATTTTTATATAGCCAATGCCAAAGGAAAACTCAAAGTACTTCTACAAAAACAAACTTCTACAAAAGTAGAAGTTCTATTACAGTGCCAAGGAATGAAGTCTTTCCTAGAAATGAGCTCTATTGCTGAAGTGGCACTCAGTATCTGTATGCCATATAGTACTTTTATCTCCTATCACTCTAATACTTAAGCATTTACACAATGCAATCCTAATTTTTTTCTGGATTCTTATCCTCATAAAGTTGATACATAAATAGGAAGTTTATTTGTTCATTTGTTTTGAGGGGTGGATATCTATTCTAAGCAGTCATCTAAGGAAATTCAACAGGTGATTGTCTCATATCCTCATGTGAAACATTCAGCAAATAATCTAATCTCTTTTCAAACTTAGTTCTTCTTTTCCATGGCTTTAAAGAAAGTAATTATGATTTTTAAAAGATTTCTTAAATGTTTACTTTGTTTAGGTGCACTGTTCCTAAGAAATGATTTTTTACTTTCTTTTTTTCCCTATGGTACAATACACAGAGCTTATTTAGATTTCACCGTTTTTTTTTTTTTTTTAAAGATTTTATTTATTTATTTGACAGAGAGAGACACAGCAAGAGAGGGAACACAAGCAGGGGGAGTGGCAAAGGGAGAAGCAGGCTTCCTGCTTCCTGCTGGGGCTTGATCCCAGGACCCCAGGATCATGACCTGAGCCGAAGGCAGACACTTAACGACTGAGCCACCCAGGCGCCCCTAGATTTCACCGGTTTTACACACTCATTCCATATACTTTCGTGGTCTAAAGCCATTACTTGGAGGTGGCAATGGAAAATAGCAGTGTCAGAAGACCTGGGTTCCTTCACTAGCTATGTGACCTTGATGCCACCTTAATCTATAAAAGGGGAATAATAACTGGCCTACTATACACACAGTTGCAAATTATTCAATTTATATAAAAATTGATCACCTGTTTTAATATATTTTAAGAGATACAGGAAAAGATTCTTCTTAAAATTCTTTTCATAGTAAGGCTGCTGGTGAAAAAGCACAGGCTTTACATTCAGGAGTCCTGTGTTTCTTGGATTCTTGCTTTGTTACTTATTTGTGGTATGACCCTAGGAAAATGAACTATTCTCCATGCTTTCGCTTTCCTTGTATGCTTGACACAATCCCAACTCAGAAGACTGTGTAGGGATTAAATGAGGCAAATCAATAAGCACTCACTCAACATATATTCATCTAGCAATTATTCTGCTTGGTGCAATCCTGATTAAAAGTCCCTTTGTGAAATACACACACACACACACACACACACACACACACACACACACGCCAGACTTAGGGGATTAGAAGTCAATGATACCTTAAAGCAACATTATGGCAAAAAAATATATATTAATTTTTTTTTTTTTTACCTATATACCTTCTTGGAACCAGTCATAGGAATCTGATAAGTTTTTTGAGCTGTTACAAACAAATTTGCAAGACTGAATCCAAGCACAAATATATCAGGTCTGGATTCAGAAAACAGTTCTGAACTAACAGAAAACACATTTCAAATTTAGCTGCTCATGAGTGGAATGTCCCTGACAGGATAAACACAAGAAGGTCACAAACAAGACAAAGGTTACAAGTGATGGCACATACTACACAACAGATAACTAATATAGGGTCTGGCATAGGTAACTGCTTATAAATATTGGTTGAAAGAATTGAATTGAGTCCCAACTCTGCCACTTTCAGTCCAAGTGACTCTGGGTAAGTTGTCAACTTCTCTGAATCTTAGTTCTCTATAAAATAGAAATATGTCTGCTTTATCTATCTCATAGGAAAGTTGTAATCAAGTGAGATCACATGAGAATGTACTAGCACTAATAAAACAATTATGACTACTGCTACCAACTACCTTACAAGCCTACTTGTAGAAAAGTAACATGTTAATATGTAAGCACCAGAAAGAGACAGCATCAAGACCTACTGAAACAAACAAACAAACAAAAAAACACAAGTTTTTTCTAAAAATGGCATTTTCTTTATGATGAAAGGTGCTGGTCACTGCTAAATTGGTACTGGGCCTTTTCTAACCCCTAGATTACAGCAGCAGGATCTGCTAGTGGTATCTTGCAAGACTGAATCCCCCAGTAGGCGCAGGAGACAGTGAGATGCCGATCTGAGGATCCCCAGATTAGAACAAGGCACTACAGGGAAGGTAGTTAGCCTTTGTAGTTAGCCGAGCGAGAAAACCAACAGCGCCAAGACAATTCCACCTTCCACAGGGATTAGAGACCGCCCGCCAGCCTAACTCACTCGGGTCGGCCAAAGCGCGCCCTAAAACCCCGCTTCGTCCAGCGCCCGGGACCTCCGCGTCTCCCGCCAAGCCCTGCGTCCCCCGTCCCTGCTTCCTGGCACGTACGCAGTGTGTCGAGAGGCTCGGGGACCGCGGCCTGGACCGGCTACTTACTCACTGTCCGTTCTTAGGGCACCTGCTGTCCAGCCAGCAGAGCCTCCTGGCGCTGTCCTTTCCCTGGCTCCCAGGACTTGCCTTCCGTCGGAGCCACAAATGCAGTGACAGCAACCTCTCCAAGAACCCAAGAATAAGAGGCCCAGACAGCCAAGCCTAGAGAGAGGGACGAGCCCGGGGCGGGGCAGCCGTTTAGACACGCCCTGAACCCTCCCCGGTTATCTCCCAAGCAGTCCCGGGTGGCCGAGAAATGCGGACCTCAGGAGGAGGGCTAGGACACAGGGCCCCGCCCCTGATTTCTTCCCGCCCGGCGCGGTCCGGACTCCCCCGTGACTCTCTCTCTGACCTCGGGGCGCTCCGCCCACTTCCAGTTGCCGGGCACGCACGCGCACTTGCTGACTTGTTTTGACAGCTTTAGCCAACTGGGATGGGAGGGAGCAGGAGGTGTCGCGAGAGTTGGTCTCACCGCCTCGTGGGCGGTGTAACCATGGCGAGCTTGGGGATCGAGGCAGAGCAAGAGCCACTCTTAGGCGACCGCACAGCCGGAAGCAGGTGAGCGGATGTTGGGGGAAGGCCCCCTCACCTTCCTGCACTATTGCCACTGGTCCCTTTCCCGGCGTCAGCCTCATGGGCCCGAACGTGGGATTCAGGGCGGCGGGAGGCTGTGGCCGGTCGTGCGAGACCGGGTGATGTGCTCCTGCTGCTGAGGAAAGAAATTTCGTCGCGCGGCGCGATGAGCCAGCGAGTTCTGGTGAAGGTGTTAGAGAAATTCACACTGCCTCTTGGACCTTCACTCCCAACAGTGTCGCGGCCGTTAAACCACCGCATTCTGCGTTCCTCTACGGAGCTCATCAATTTACACGTTTCACAAAAGTTCCGAAATGATGGTTTTAATTGATACTTGAAGAAACCTCTCTTAGTATTGACTTAATTGCGTGATAACTTTTTGATACTTCGTTAGCAAGTAAACCTGTACAAAACGAGCATACCTTTCTCCTATGCCAAACATATAAAGACTAATTTCTTAGCGTTTAAGGATGAACTGTACTTCGACCCTTATATTTCTGGTTATTTTGATCCTACTTTATGGACAGTAATTCAGAATTGTTCAGTTTGTCTCTTACTACTTAGTTAAGTAACTATTTTTGTCTTTAGGAAAACGGAATTAAATATTATTGTGTTTGAAACAATTTATCAAGTAAATTAATACACAGTTAAGCTGTCAACGACCATGTTAATTTTTGCACATTTGTCTCTCTTAAGCACCAAACTTTCATTTTAACCACTTTGTTTGAAACTCTTTTGGGCAGTGTATTTCTCTGGTCCCCGATTTACTAAACGGAATATATGTATTGCAATTTTATCTACATTTTATCTTGAGATCAATACAATTATTATCAAACCCGAAATATTCCATAATACAGGGATGTACTCAGGGCCTACTGAGACATTTTGGACTATTTGCTTCTATACTAGTTTATTTTACACGATTTTTTTTTTAAGCTTGTATTTATTTATTTGAGAGAGAGAGAGCATGAGCAGGGTGAAGGGCAGAGGGAGAAGCAGATTTCCCCAGTGAGCAGGGAGCCCATTGCTGGGATCATTACCTGAGCCTGAGGCAGATGCTTTAACCTACTGAGCCACCCAGGCGCCCTTTACTTTCTTTCACTTTCTTACTAATTTATATACTTGCTACACGTTTAAAGTTTTATGTCTGCTTTTCTACCTATTCTGTTGCTGGCAGACTATTCCTCATCATGTTTTTTTATGTATTGACAGTCCCTGTTTTTGTTGCTGTCAGCAGCCTCTCTTCTCCCAACTTTATTTTGAAATTTCTAGTTTGCTTCTGCTTTGAAAACCATTTCTAAGCTTAATAGAATTATGTGCAGTTAGAACATGGAAGCTATGACTAAGGACTAACCATCTCTCTAGGTGCATGTGCTTCAGTGCATAGACTTTGTGACATTTGGATTTCTCAAAGTTCTTTTTGCTTCTACCTGGTTCTTGACTATTTTTCAGATAAATTCAGGATCCTTGAGTTAATAGTTGGATGTGGTCTTACGGTATATATTCTGTCACCATGTCCAAATAAATCTACTTTAAAAAAGGAATTCTTTTTCTTACTCTTTTTTTTTTTTAAAGATTTTATTTATTTATTTATTTGACAGCGAGAGAGACACAGCAAGAGAGGGAACACAAGAAGGGGGAGTGGGAGAGGGAGAAGCAGGCTTCCCACGGAGCAGGAAGCCCCAGGAGGGGCTTGATCCCAGGACCCTGGGATCATAACCTGAGCCAAAGGCACATGCCCAATGACTGAGCCACCCAGGCACCCCTCTTTTTCTTACTCTTATGTACTCTTATGCTTCAGTTATGTCTGAGTGATTGTTTGAGGCTCATTAGGGTGCATCTAAATTCAGATGTTCTGTCCATAAACAATACTTGATTGAGGTTCTAGATTTAGCATTTTAAAAATAAGGGTGTATTTTTTAATAAGGTGTATTTTGGGGTGCCTGGGTGGCTCAGCCAGTTAAGCATCTGCCTTCGGCTCAGGTCATGATCCCAGGATCCTGGGATCGAGCCCCGCATCGGGCTCCCTGCTCCGTGGGGAGCCTGTTTCTCCCTCTCCCACTCCCCCTGCTTGTGTTCCCTCTCTCGCTGTCAAATAAATAAGATCTTAAAAAAAAATAAAAATAATAAGGGTGTATTTTAAGAATAATACAATAAGCATACTGTGTTTTAAAACGTAGATTCGGGCTCAGATGGTTAAGCGCCTGCCTTTGGCTCAGGGCATGATCTCTAGGTCCTAGGATCGAGCCCCATGTCGGCCTCCCTGCTCAGCAGGGAGTCTGCTTCTCCTTCTTCCTTTGCTTCTCCCCACTGCTCCTGCTCTCTCTCTCGCTGTATCTCTCTGTCTCAAATGAATAAATTTAAAAATTCTTTAGAAAAAAAAAACATAGATTCCCTAGTAAAATGAACATATAATATAACCAATTGACAAGCCCTGTTCGCTTTGAGTAAATTGTAGAAACTACAGCCTAGTTCACCACCAACTTTTTCTCACTAAGAAGGTTAGTTTTAATTTACTGGTCTGGTGAGTCCTTAGTGGTCTCCACTGACCCCATCTGTAGTGTTTAAGAGAACAAAGTATTGGCAAACTTTTTCTGTAAAGGCCCAAATGGTAAATATTTTAGGCTTTGCAGGACAAGAGGCAAAATCAAAGATATTATAGAGGTACTTAGATAACAAGAAAGAAAAATTCTCACAAAAAATTTTAGTAATGAAGTTTAAAATATAATAAATGAGTAAAGTTTTTTGCAATACAAATCCATGAGAGGAATGGAATTTCTTTTTAGGAGTGGCATTTTTCTTAACTAGAGTTAAAAGTTGATGTTTTCTAACAAGTTGCTCACAAATATTCATCTGTAAAAACTATTCTCCAGTAGAAACTGGTGATCTAGAAACAGGTGACAACGTTGGGTTTGAACTAGAGACTATAGATTGCTGATCCCTCTTTTAGATTATCCTAAAATGTTAACAGGTACTTAAAATTTTTTCTTTGCAGCTCTAGTCCAGTTTCTGTATTACAGATAATATCTGCGACTTCTGGTCTTATAGAGCATATCCTTATAGAACATTCTCAGTTTATTTTTGCCTTCTAAATTTTATACTGTAACACCATTACACTATTGTGTCAATGAGCACACACTTTTTTCTCTTATCTTCTTTGAATATGGGTTCTTTTTTGCTCTTCAGTAGTTCACAAATGCTCTCTCTGGTAAATAGTAATTTTATTTTTCCTTAGTAAAGCCAGAGTCATTTTTTGGGTTGTTTTTTTTTTTAAATAAAGATTTTATTTATTTATTTTTCAGAGAGAGAGGGAACACAAGCTGCGGGAGTGGCAGGCAGAGAGAGAAGCAGGCTCCCCGCTGAGCAAGAAGCCTGATTCAGGACTCGATTCCAGGACCTTGGGATCATGACCTGAGCCAAAGGCAGATGCTTAACTGAGCCACCCAGGCATCCCCAGAGTCATTTTTTGAAAATAAAGTACTGCTGTTTACCCAAGAGTCCTTGTATTAAATAATGATCTATTGAACCTAAATTTGGCACTGTTTACTTATTTCTGTTACATTTTATTTAACTTATTTTGGTGATCAGTTCACTCCAGTATTTCATGTATTCTTCCCAGTTTTTAAGTTACAAGTTTGACAAATTGTCTTGGAAGTGCAGCATTCCTTCTTGTGCCTTTGTGATACAAGAAAGAAACCTTCAGATTACTTCATCTTAACCATGTGATATGGTTGGTTGAATCATCACAATTAAGAAAATATAATAAGGGACACCTGGGTGGCTCAGTTGGTTAAGTGTCTGCTTTTGGCTCAGGTCATGATTGGGATTGAACCCAGCATCAGGCTCCCTGCTCAGTGAGGAACCTGCTTTTCCCTCTCCCTCTAGTTGCTGTTCCCCCTGCTTGTGCTCTCTCTCTCTCTCACTCTCTCTCTCTCTCTGTAAAATAAAATATATATAAAAAAGAGGGCGCCTGGGTGGCTCAGTTGGCTAAGCAACTGCTTTCTGCTCAGGTCATGATCCTGGAGTCCTGGGATCGAGTCCCACATCGGGCTCCCAGCTCAGTGGGGAGCCTGCTTTTCCCTGACCCTCTCCCCTCTCATGCTGTTTCTCTTTCTCTCTCAAATAAATAAATAAAATTTTTAAAATATATATATATATAATAAAAATGGTAACTTGGGGCATCTGGGTGGCTGAGTCAGTTAAGCCTCCAACTCTTTTTTTTTTTAATTTTAATTTTATATTTTAAATTTAAATTTAGTTAGTTAACATATAATGTATTATTAGTTTCAGAGGTGGAGTTGAGTGATTCATCAGTCTTATATAATACCCAGTGCTCATTATATCACATGCCCACATTAACATCCATCACCCAGTTATCCCATCGCCTCACCCCCCTCCTCTCCAGCAACCCTCAGTTTGCTTCCTATGATTAAGAGTCTCTTATGGTTTGTCTCCCTCTCTAGTTTCATCTTGTTTTATTTTTTCCTCTCTTCCCCTTTGATCCTCTGCTTTATTTTCTTAAATTCCACATATGAATGAGATCATATAATAATTATCTTTCTCTGATTGACTTATTTCGCTTAGCATAACACCCTCTCTACTTCCATTCATGTCATTGCAAATGGCAAGATTTCATTTTTTTTTAAAGATTTTATTTATTCATTTGAGACACAGAGGTACAGAGAGAGAGAGAGCCTGAGCAGGGGGAGAGGCAGAGGGAGAGGGAGAAGCAGACCCCCCACCGAGCCAGGAGCCCAATGTGGGGCTTGATCTCAGGACCCCGGGATCATGACCCGAGCTGAAGGCAGACACTTAACCATCTGAGCCACCCAGGTGCCCCAAGATTTCATTTTTTTTGATGACTGAGTAATATTCCATTGTATATATGTATGCCACATCTTCTTTATCCATTCATTTGTTGATAGACGTCTGGGCTCTTTCCCCATAGTTTGGCTATTGTGGACATGGCTGCTATAGACAGATCA